AAAGAATATGATGGCAAAAAAAAAAAGCACATGAGAAGATCTGCTGATAGAAGAATGGGTAAAAAAGATGTGGTATATTTATACAACAGAATATTACTAAGCCTTAAAAATGGATGAGATCTTGCCGTTTATGAAAAGGATATCCCTACAGTGTATTATGCTAAATAAAATAATTCAGACAGAGAAAGACAAATACCATATAATTTTATATTTATGTGGAATCTGAGAAATAAAACAAATAACAAACCAATAAAATAGGAACAGACTCATAGATTCAAGAACTGTTGGTTATGAAACAGGAGAGGGATTTGTGGGAGTGGGTGGGCTGGGTAAATAGGTGAAGGGGATTAAGGGGTACAAATTTCCAGTCATAGAATATGTAAGTCATAGGGATGTAATGTACAGCATAGGGAATATAGTCAATAATATGGTAATATGGTTGTATTGTGACAATGGTAATTAGGTCCTATGATGACCATTTCATAATACATGAAAATATTAAATCACTTTGAAACTATAGGGCATCTGCGTGGCCTAGTTGGTTGAGCGTCCAACTTTGGCTGAGGTCATGATCTCGCCGTTGGTGCGTTCAGCCCCGAGACGGGCTCTGAGACGGGCTCTGTGCTGACAGCTCTGAGCCTGGAGCCTGCTCCGGATTCTATTTCTCCCTCTCTCTCTGACTCTCCCCCACTCATTCTCTGTCTCAAAAATAAATAAACTATAAAAAAATAAAAAAAGAAACTAATGTTATTAAATGAGAATTATCCTTCAATAAAAATGCTGAAAACCTTCAGTCACTAAGGAAACTTGGCAACGGGCACTGAGTTTGGGAAATCTGAAATTGACATTTCAACCCAAGTAATGTAACTTGGTAGCATGTACTTAAAATTTCAGTTAATTATCCTTTAATATAATCAGATACTTGGAACGCCAAATGACATTTTTTTTCTCAACCCAACTCCTAAGTTGTGTTCATCAGACACTCTTGTATACTTCTGTCTTTATTTGAATGTTCCAGTTTCATCACTGCAAAATAAGGAAATAGTGTCACCTAGCTCACTGGTTTGTTTTAAAGATGAAATGATTCAATACACATACATGTTTATATACAATGTTTCCTACTGCAAAGATTCAGCAGATAATAGAGCTTATGATTTCTGATAGAAGTCATTCAGAAATTAATTTGTCTTATCACTTATTTCCTAGACTGTAAAAGAGAAGAGTAACTACATTGGGGCATTAGTCTACCTGAGCTGCCATTAACAAGGAAATGCAGACTGGTGGCTTAAACAACAGAAATTTATTGCTCACAGTGCTGGAGGGTTGTAACGAGTAACAAATTTCATCATTTTTCTATAATAAATTTTGAGATTTATTTTGTTTAATGTTAAACCAATTATGCCTTATGCATGTTTTGATCCATTTTTGATCTTTGTCAAACAGATGTCCTTCCATATACCACAAACCTATTTTCATTATAACTTTTAAGAGATCTTATTGAAATTCATCTTCTTTTTTAAAATATTTATTTGTGTGTGTGTGACAGAGAGAGAGAGAGAGAGAAAGAGAGAGGAAAGAGCAGAGAGATACAGAGACAGAATGCAAAGCAGACTGTGGTCTCAGAGCTATCAGCGCAGAGCCCAATGCGGGGCTCAAACTCACCAACTGTGAGATCATGACCTGAGCAGAAATCAGATACTCAGCTGACTGAGCCACCCAGATGCCCCGAAACCCAACTTCTTTTAATGGAACAATACGTTCACATAAGGAAATTCATACTCCATCCTTAATTTAACATTATCTTCCATTTACATCTCTTCCCAACACAGTATATTGCCAGTTTTTAAGGTTTCCTCAGTAAAAAACATATTGTCCAAATGTTTCTTATAAATACCAACAGTAAGTTTAAGGAAGAAAAATAAAACATCAAATTTTTCATGAATATTTTATGGCTCTGGAACTTCAGATTCAATTTGCATATAAATCTATAGGGTGGTAATTATGAACATGGAAGTAGAAGTAATATATATTAAAAACATGAGGTAATATATCATAAATGTTTACTAGTCCTACTTAAATGATATTTAAGCCATGAAAGGTGAGGGACAACAACCAAAAAGCAATCCTAACAATTATGTATAAAGACTCTCAAATGTTCTACTTAAAGCTAGAGACATAATTTTTTCAAAGTTTGTACTGTTTTTGCCTACATTTTAAAACCAAGGAGACTATAACTTTTGAACCACAAAATAATTCTAAAAATATGTCAATATAATTTTCAAACCCTAATGAAATAGTAAGAAAAAAACAGACAACAGAAAATTGTGTAGCTCAGTAGTGTATCCAATTATGTGGAACAATGTATCAAACTATGTTTTTCATTTTTAATGATCATCTTAAGAAGCATACATTTTATTACACTTTGTATCTAAACAAGGTAGTTCTTGAGAATTTCAGTACAACTTTGTGTAGATGTTTGGGCTCAATCATAAAATCAATTGAATTGTAACTAAGGGTGAACAAAGAACACATTGAACTTCACTCCCCACCCCTGTGCTTGGGAGATTACACATCAAACACAAAATTAATTTGTAATATTTATAAAATATAATTCAAAACAGGATCTGAAAGGAGCTTTCTAGAGTCTGCTATTGTACATAAATTGTATACTTAGTATTATTTTAGAAATTAATACCTCATAGGTCACTAGATAAATGTATGAACTGTAAAATAAATAGAACAAAAAATAAATTGTGTATTTATCATGCCCTTTAAATATACCCTTCCATATTTACAAGTGACACTGAATGACAAGGCAAACACACATTGTTTTCCATGACATATTTCCATCTTAATTAATTATATCTACAAAAAGCCTATTCCCAAAATAGTTTGTATTCTGAGCCTCTGGTATACATGGATTCTTAGGGGCACTGTTCAACAACAATGATAACAGTATTATGTTCTTTGAAATTAAATATTATATAAAGTGTCCCATAAATTATCCATGTTTTGCAGAATGTTATAAAATATTATGCTATGACTTGTCCAGCAATATTGTTTTTTTGTAGTTGTTTTCATTGTGGCTATTGTTTAGTTATTTAAATTATCTTCTTAGTAATGAGGTATTTGCATTCTTATAGATATAGTCAAAGGTTATGAATCAATTGGAAAGTGAGTGTTAATGGATCAATGCCAACAGATTATACTATTGACTTGCTTTGTTTTTGACCAAATAGTTTAATTTTTTCAGTATCTTGAGTCAATTTATCTCTGCTTATAACCCCAGCCTCACCCTCTACCTTAGGAAGGCATTTCTTACAGGATCCACAGGAAATTAACAGGCATGCTGTGAATAATATTCTTTAATTAAATCTAGTCAGAGAAAAGTGGGTTCAACAAAGCAGGTTTCTTTACCATAAAATTTCAAATAGCTTTTAATTTGCTACACTGTGTTATGATACTCATAGAATGAGATTAGTTAGGCATTGTTTTACAAATTTATTAGAAAGTGAATTCTTACTGGATGAACTATCTCATATAACTGGGCAAAATGTTGTTTCTGTTCCATCCCTCAGGTAGTTGATCAATAGGACATTACTTCAGTATGTCCAGCTCCAAACCTGTGATCGAAGTTTAGTAACTGGTCTTCTCCCTTGTTTCTGAGTTTAGAACTTCACTTTTTGCCATTGTATGGATTTCTATCTAGAATCCATGTTCAGAAGATCTCATCTTGGTAAACTAAGAACACCAAGTCATTGACAAGGGAAGTCTTGCTCTGCATTTGTCAGTCTTTCTTTTTAAGCCATGTTATACTCTTACCCCAAAATTGTGAAGTTTCTTAATTTCTGATTACAGATTGTGACTGTTAATTTTATGTGTCAACTTGACTGAGCCAATGGATTCCTGGACAGCTGGTAAAACATTATTTCTAGATGTGTCTGTGAGGGTGTCTCCAGAACAGATTGGTATTGGAATCCATACACTGAGTAAAGAAGACCACTGTCATTAAAGCAAGTGGGCATCAACCATCCATCCACTGATGGCCTGAACAGAACAAAAATGCAGAAAAGAGCAAGTTTACTCTCTGCATGAACTGAGTTACCCATCTTTTGCTGACTTTGGACATCTGCATTCTTGGTTTTCTAGTCTTCAGACTTGCACAAGGACTTAACATCATTGGCCTCTAGCTGTTGGAATTTTGGATTAAGATGAGTACTTACATCATTGACTCCCCTGGTCTACAGGCCTTTAGGACCAAACAGAAATGACACCCCTGGATTTCCTGGCTCTCCAGCCTGCAGACAGCAGATCATGGGATTGCTCAGCCTCCATAACTGGATGAGACAATCCCTTATAATAAACCTGTTTCCACATATCTGTGTAGATCCCATTGGTTGTTGTGCTGGAGACCTGGATAATACACAGACTTTACTATACATTATATACTCAATACTGTCATCTTGACCATCTTCCAAGACAATACTAATTCTGCTAGAGCACCCTCATCCCACTTGCCTTTAGGGTTTATTACCATACAGTAGATCTCCCCATGGACCTTGTAACCGTAATCTCATATTATTCCATCTCAGGTTTTAAAATTCAAATATCTAACTCTTTTTCTTATTTTGTATCCTTCCAGAAATTTCCCTCTTCATTCACATAGCATCTCCCCTCTGCTTAATTCTATTAAATCTAGTTCCCTTTTTTAATCACTTCCATCAACTACCAAAAGGTTCTTGCTTAAAATAAAATAAAATAAAATAAAATAAAATAATAAAATAAAATAAAATGGCATATCATTGTACATTTACCCCCAAATGAATTATTTATTTCTTCGGTAAGCATTAATTGAACAATTTTAATACGCTAGTAACAGATATTCTAGGAGCTGAGAATACAGTGATAAAACAAAAAGAGATTACTTAGGAGACATTTAGTGGAGGAAAAGGATAATATAAACAATATAAATATAGTATGTTAAAGAGTGCTATGTTAATGAGCAACAATTACGTCACCAAAGAGGATACAAAATGTCCAGGAAGCAGGTTAATATTTTAGGGTGGTCAGGAAGCTCTTCACAAAGAAGGTAACCTTGCATAAAGACTTCAAGGAAGCCAGGGAGCCCGTGTGCTTATCCAGATGAAACTCGGTGAAAAGGAACAACGACTGCAGGAGGACTTGTGAATAATGCCTAGTAACTTTCTTCTGACACTTCAGGGTAATGATGATAGAAAGGAGATGCAGAAAACTGTCAGAGAAAAAAACATGGCTTTCTTAGGAAGGAAAAGTCAAATAGACTATATAACTTCTAAAATTGTTTTTTCTGAGTTGTCAGTATTATTTTGGGTTGTTTTTGTTTGTCTGGGGTGTTTCATTTTTGGTTCCACCTAGTTCCTCCCTTTTATGCTGTGATTTTCTTCAATAGCCATGAGATCCCTGTGAAGTATTTTCCCCTGAATTTATGAGCTGACTTTGAGTACAGTAAATTGGGCAGTGGGAGATCGGGTGTTGATGGACTGACTGCATCTCAGGATGAGTAAGGAGGAGTAAGAAGGTGGGTTAGATGCACCTACCTCCATTCCACTGCCAAATAAGGAAGGCTTTCTTCTGGTTTCTATGCTCATCATCCAAGAAAAATGGCTCCCAGAAATATGTATAAATAATTTTGAGGTGTTTTTCTTATTTTATCCTAAGGGCAATAATGCAAATCCAGGTGAGTGTGTGTATGTGTGTGTGTGTGTGTGTGTGTGTGTGTGTGTGTGTGTGATGGTGAGGGGGGATATGGTGAATGGGGCAGACATTTCACAGTCAGATTTGTAAGGAATGTTTGTTTTGGACACCTCTGAAGAGTTTCTCAGGAAGAAGCACTCCTATAACTTCTCCTTTGCGTTTTCTGGGATGTGGCTGTACCCATTCGGTTCTGTCCACTGTGTCTGTCTATCATCTTTCCCTTTTCTTAATATTTTGTCAAAGGACCATAGACCACTTCCACTCAATCATTTCTAAGGCAATTGAAATTCAATCCCCTTCTTCACTTCTGTTGTCATTTAGACAAACCTCCAGGGGAAGACTTTTCTGTTGGTGAAGAGGGTTTCCTGATCCTAAATAGTACAGGATAGTGAAATACAGGACTGGGAACATGTGAACAGTAGCAGTTATTAGTCATGTATTCGTCACAGTCTGAGGGAGGAGGACACCACGTGTGCAATGCAAGGCTACAGAGGACGAGAGGGGTGCATTGTGAAACAGGGCTCTGAGGGTGGGCTCTGTATTAACGAGGAGAAGGGGTCCTGTCTGGTTCCTACAGGAGAATGTGATTGACTTGTTTGAATACTTCTTGAACTAGAAGGAAGTTTGAGGACCAGATGGGGTCCAGGTGGTCCAGGTGATGGAGGACCTGGCTGGGGAGGGAGCCTTTTCTGTTGGGTGGCAGCATATCTATTGAAAAGAGACTCATAGGTGAAGGCAGCACATGGAATTCTGGATCTTGCAACACACAGATGTTCTATCATTACCTCAGATAGAACCTCATCTACTTCGCTCAACCTGTACAAATTTAGAACTGAGTTTATAGCACATTAGATAATGCAGTTTTCATTGTTTTGACTTGACTTACTTATAAGTAAAGGTGCAGGGCTTTCTCTTTGTTTATATGTATAGCCTTTTTTATGCAAAATTACCTACTTGTGTTCTATTGTGACCAGATTCTTTTTGGCCTAAACTTAAATGTATTTATTTCACCTGTCTATCTTTTTGAATGATCTGCCTCCTATCTTCTGACTATTTCCATTTGCCAAGATTTTACCTTTGCATCTCCCATCTTTTCACTGTTTATTCTTCTGAGTGACTATTTTCTTCTTTTCTTATTTCAATTAGCAACCGGTGCTGACAATGCCCAAATCTCTACCTCAGCTCTTCACAAATTTATACTCCCCTTTACACTATTTACTATCTCTTGTCTCACAAGCTCATCATGAACAGCGTTTATAAAACTAAAATGATCACTCTTTCCAAATAGTATTTGTTACTGCAGAGTCAAGCTCCTGGTTAAAGGCCTAGATGTGATTTTTCAAGCCTGAGCTCAGACAAAGAGGTTTTACCCACAGGCTTTGGGGGAGAAGTCACCCTCCCCACACCAGGTCTGGGATGCAGCCCACGCACTGCAGTGACTGAAAAAAGCTGCAGTCAAGGACTCAGTTCCTCCCCATAACCACCCATCCCCTCAACTGCCCATCATGCTCCTCACATATTTGCATTGGTAGCCCAGGTGCCATCATTTGTAGAGGTCTTCTTGGAAACCTTTGCTGAAGTCTGTTACCAAGGGAGAAGGGGAACTTTGAACTTGAATCCAGACAGGTTACCCAACTCTGAGTTCTCAGTACTTTCTTGCTCTGAGCCTTCCTCCATCTTCCCCCCTTCACCCCAGGGTCCATAAGACTGCTGACACCTTTTGTTCAAGCTCCCTTGATAGTGAGAAGACTCACTATGTCCATGCTGACCCACCTGACCCTCCACTGGTGTGATGCTCCATGGGGAGAAATGGAACACAAGGAGTCAGTGCCTTCTCCGGCTTTAACCTCTTGCTTATACCCTTGCGGTAAGTGATTAAAGGCTTCCATTTTTTAAAAATGTTTTTTAATGTTTTATTTATTTATGAGAGAGAGAGCTGTCAGCACAGAGCCTGATGCGAGGCTGAACCCACAAACCGTGAGATCATGTCCTGAGCCAAGGTCTGACGCTTAAAAGACTGAGCCACTCAGGTGCCCCTAAAGCCTTTCATTTTTGGGTAATGGGTTACTTTGACATCTGGCAAGGCTACTTGCTCTCTTCCAGATCAGCAGAGCTCCTAAGAGGCACCTAGAGTCTTTACTGCATTTTATGCACCAGCATATATTTTTCACCAGGAAAATACATGTGACTCTGTCCCAAACTTATACTACCCTCTACCTGTCCACTTGGCTTCCTAAATACTGTATATATCAGATACATTATTTCTTCTTAAACACATCAGGAATAACTTAATTTAAAAACCCAATCTTCAATTTATACCACCTGGACCCCTGAAAAGAGATATTAACTGTAGCCAGAATTATCTACAAATCTTTTTCTTTACTGCAGCCATGGTAACAAAAATCAAAAGGCAAAACCCACCATTCTCCTTTCCACCCACCCAAATCACTGAATTTGGATAAAGTCTAAGCTTATCACTGTGCTTTTGACATTTTTACCCTTCCATAACTCATCGGTTTCTTCCAATTATTTTATCGTCCAGAAGCCCTAAAATTCTTCCATTGCTATAATGTATTTTAAAATTATATTTATTTGCTTATTTAATTTTACCTTCATGGCTATACTCAGCCTATCCCATTGCTTGGAATATTTAACTGTCTCTTTGCCCTAAAGAAATCATTTTATATGACAGGTCCGTCATGAAAACTTCCATATTTCCCTTGTGTAAGGCAAGGCAGAGTGATCGCAGCAAGATACTCTTGGTGCGAACTAGAACTTATTGGCAGGCAGATCGGCAGGATCATGTGAGGGACACAATGTGCACAGGAAAGCAGAGAGAGACTGAAGTCAATGCCAACAGCTACCAGAATGTAAAATGTGCAAGAAATAGAGTTTTTCTGAAGCCTCTGGAGGATATTCAGTCCCACCAACACCTTGAAATTTATTTCAAACTTCTGACATCCAGAATTGTGGGAGAATAAATTTCTGTTGTTTTAAGCCAGCATGTTAGTGGTACTTTGCTACAATGGCAATGGAAAAATAATACAGATTTCTTGGCCAAATTCAGCCAAATGCTTGAATTTTACACCCAGAAAGATATTTTTTTTACATTAAAATGGTTGAAAAAAATCAGATGAAGAATAGTATCCTGAGATATATAAAAATGGAATGAAATTCAAATTGCTGACATAAATTAAGTTTTATTGGAACACCTCCATGCTCACTCATAGATTGTCTATGGCTGCCTTTGCATTTAGCAACAGAGCTGAATGGTTGTCATGGGGAATGCATGGTGTGCTAAGCTGAAAATACTTGTTATCTGGCGCTTAACAGAACATGGCTGTGGTCCCCTGTACTGGATGCTTTTGTAATTATCATTTACTTTGTCTCCTCCATTAAATTGTGAACTTGTAGATCAGGACTTTATACATAGTCTATGTTAAATAAATATATAAAGATTCAATGAAAATTTTAACTTTTTGCTGTCTCTTTACTGTAAAACATTGCATAACAGCTACGCATTTGCTATAGTTTTTCCTAACTTTAAGACCTGCTATTTTCATTTTTCATAAATGATAGAGGTAATTAAAAGTGATGGAATTATTTGAGTTAAATATTTAATATTATGATACCATAGGGATCAAAATGTTTTGCAACAGATGAGTTTGGGGATTATTAAAACTGATGCCATGTTCATAATGATAAAATAAAATGAAAAATAAACATGGGAGATCTTTAAAAGACAACTTCAGTATGAAAAGTGGCATTGTTTCCATATGTTAAGCTATTTATTAAAACTATAAATAAATTATGTCTAAAGATCACAATTTTAAATAAAATACTGATTTCACATTTGATTTGAGGATACGTGTTAAATAGTTAGACTTTCAGATGTGAGGGACACCTGCTAATAAAAGATAAAAGAGCCTAAAATGTTGGCCAACATACAATATTGTGACTTTATACCTGAGTGAAGAGTTTAAAGTCTACATTCTTATGTTATACATACTTTATTGCTAATTGACTATTCCTAAATCACAAACTTGTAATTGGTAGTACTGAAGTACATATTCTCAAATGTGGAACCCTAGAGAACACTGAGTGAGAAAACTTTCTCATAAGATAAAGCTCTTTCTGAAGTCAGCACCAAACCACGCTTTGTACTTTATCAGCTTATGAAGTTTAAAGGTTATGCTAATGCAAAATTCATATTCATTTTTATAAAAGAGTTTGAGAGAAAAAAAACACCAAAAAAAAAAAAAAAAACCCTCTGCTCCATCAGAAGAATGATGAGGAATTTAAAAACTTTAAATTAATAGTGTCTTAGTAGTTCCTGAGTTTAAAATTAGCATTGAGCTATTGAATTCAGAGAACTGTAAGAATAAGTTTGTTGTTCATGTGCTCAAATTTCTAAGTGTGCTGTACAAAATTCCGTAAAGGAATATCTGCTGCATTTTTATTTTTTAATGTATTACCTCCTTTTACAAGAGCACAAAGTCTTTTCTTGTTCTTAGAAAA